GAACTCGAGGGGGCATGTTGCATCCATCTCTTTGCTTCGCTTCGCCCCTCTCGACGGTGCGTGCAATTCCTCTCGCGTTCCAGACGGGCCAGTATTCTTTGTCTTCAAGAGACTCATGGCACTTAGGGCGACGCCCAGGCTACGCGGCATGATTTGCAAGGTGCGTCGATTTGTTTCTCAGGATGTGTTTCGTCTATCGCCGGGCGCGAGCTCTTCTCGGACATTGACCGCCGCGTGATTGTTCCGGGCAGAATACTATTAACCAAAGGTTACGGATCGCACGGGGCCCGCTGGGCGTCATCTACTTGTCCCTGGTGGCCGCACTTGGGGTTCCGTTCGCGACCTTCAGCGGGTTTCGAATGCCCGTGAGAACGCGGGAGATGCGCCGACGCATGTCCGCGGGGGCTTCAGTTTTACTCTCGGGGAGGACGGAAGGCAGCGCGCCGATGGGAGTGGGTGGCGTCCAGGGGGGCCAATGCAGACATGGTTTGTCTGAAGTTTGTTTCCTCGGTGGACTGAGCTCCGCCAGCCAGGGCCGACGCGACGGTTGACATCTCGCGGCGCTCTTGTTCATGTCAATCGACTGGATCGGATGTATCTCATTACTATTTTGGCCATTCTGACGGGCTTCACGGCCAGCTGCCCCGCGTTTGGGGAGGCCGCGCTCCTTGGGGACGTCTCGGACCGCATGCCTGCGATGGCCGCGATTCGGAAGTGCTCCCGCCTGCGTTTCCTAGGGTCCCGCCCCGGGTGTGTTCGGGCCCGGTTACCCGCGCCGAGTTTGAGTTCTCGCTGGAGGGCCTCGATGGGCCCGGCCCGATCGGGGGCCGAATCGCCAAAGTCAACCAGTGCATGTGGGAGGCGTGCCACCAGGCCCGTAAACGAATGCAGCAGACGTTTGCTACCGAAGTTGCTGAGAATATACACTTCGCGGCGGCAGCTCCGCGGAGCATTCGGGCGCAGTCGGTGGAGCGCTTCTCTCATCCTGTCGAGTTCTATCCTGAGCTTGCTCGCTTGTTCAAGTTCGCCGACTGCACCTGCCGCCCCGGCCGCGCCCTGCCTCGCCTGCGCGATCGCATTCAGTCGTCGCAGCAGTCGGACCCGAGGGACTTGGGGCTGGAAGTGGAACGGCAATCCGATGTGGAAACCAAGGCCCGCTCGCGGGCCAATTTCCAGAGGCGCAAGGAGCTCTGGCGGCCCATGCACAAACGCATCTCCTTGGGTGATACCCTGGGCTCGGACGGGGACCGGGCCGCTTGCCGGGGGGGGGGGCTCGCGTCGCAGTAGGACGCTGTATTTGGTGGCCGTGTGCGCGATGCGGATGTTTGGGGCGCTCCGGGGTCTTTCGTGGTTCCGATCTCTGGCGTCTCGCTGCGAAGACTGGGTGATGCCGTTTGACGACTTTGAACAGATGGTGAGTGGGCGCGCTGACTCCATGTCTGGTCCCGATTGCATTGTCTACTCGCGTTGGAAGGGCCCTCGTCCCACTGCGATATCGCATGGCCTCTACTAGCGCATTATGGAGTCTCGTGGTAATGGGCTTCGCGCGACGATGAGTGACGCGCCGTTGGTCTTTCTCGCGAAGGGCGGTCATGCTTCCGACCTCTCGTCTGTCCCATCTCGCTCTCCTGACGCTTGCCGACCGCTTGCGATGGCCGACGCAGACTGCAAGCTCACGTCTCTCGCTTTCTCGAGGCGGCTGGAAAGATGCGCGCGCGGCGCGGCAGTGAAGGCGCAAGCCTGTTTGTCGGGGCGTCCCATGACTGACCGAGTCCTTGAGGCGGGACACCGCCTGCATATTCCTGGCAGACTTTTCCGCTGCGTTTCCGAGCATCGCGGCCTCCTAGCTTCTTCGGGTCTTAATTCTCATGGGCGTTCATCCTGGGGTCGCCGGTTTCTTCGAGGCGCTGTACCTGGGCGGTTCTGGGATTGCGTGCTTCGGTGGGGAGCGGCGTCGCTGGGTCCGCATTCGTCGTGGCGTTCGGCAGGGTGATCCATCCAGCACGCTCCTTCCTGCATTCGCACTTGATCCGTGCACGCGGTGGTTGGCGTCTGGGCCTCCGCGCTGGGCTCTCGGGCGCGCGGATGACTTATGGTTTGGCATGCGGGGTGTCGTCGTTGAGCTTCCTCTGCCGCTGCCGCTGATTCAGAGACTGGACGGAGGGATCGGGTTTCGATTGGACCTCGGGAAGTGCGTGTTAATTCGCTGTGGCCTGCAGCTAACGGGGCGTTCTCGTCGGCGCACCTACCGCGCGCCTGCATCTCCAGGGCCTGGGGCAGCAGCAACTCCGGCGGTTTGATATGCCAGGTATCTAGGGGTTCAGATCGGGCCCGATGGATGGCAACGTGCCCGGGCTGCCGCTCTGAAGGAGCACCGTCAACAATGCATTGAGATTTGTCGATTGGGGCTCGGCCATGCGATGTCGATTCGAATGTACGTGGTGCTTGCTGTGTCGGTTCTGCGCTTCGTCATGCAATTCTACCCAGTCTCGAAGGAGGTGCTCAGGTGTGAAGGTAGCCTGCAGCAGAAGCTTCTCGCTGGCCCTCGTTTCTCTTTTAACCGTGTGATGTGCACTCGTATGCGGGATCTGGGGTTGCCCATCGCGCTTCCTGATGTTGCCAACGTTGGCATTGCGCCCCAGGTTCGGCTTGATCATTCTTCGGCTGTTCTCGGGAAGCTACGCATGCTGCTCTCATCCTTGCTGCTCCAAGACGACCTCCATCCTGCTCGTGCTCTCTCGCCCTGGTGGCCGACGACGCGCGTTCGGTCGATGGTGTCGACGTGGGAGGAGCACATTGCTGTCCGCGGGGCGTTCCTTCGGGCCGACGGGTTCTCAAACAAATTCGCCGCCCGCCTCCGTGCACAGACGGTTGTTGTTGCGCCGCTCCGCTGCCTCTTCGAGCGAAACCAGCGGTGGCTTCCTGGCGTTGGCGCCGAGGTCCTCTACATCGTCCGCAAGGTTGTTGCTGCGGGCTCCTGTTGTCTCGGCCTGGCGGTGCTGCGGATTATTTCCAGGGGTGTCTGTGCTGGCGCCAGGTTCCATCATGGGCGCGCCAGATGTTTCTGGAACTGTGGGCAGGAAGTTGCTGCGGACTCCCTGGAACACCATGCGGTGTGTCTTGAATTTCGGCGTCCGAGCCCAGTCCTCGCCCCGTGTCTTGGCCCGCGTTTCAGTAAGAGTCCTAGTTCCATTGTTTGACGTTGGCGCCCCCCCCTCCCCCACCCACCACCATCCCTTAAGCAGAAGACCAGTAGCGGGTGCCTGTGCGATGGCTTCCTTTCTGTTCGAGCGTCCTCCAGGGAAGGGGTTCGGACTCCCCCGTTTGACCTATGCCGCGCTGGAATCATATTGATATGCAGGAGGCACCCGAAGGGGGGAGATGCCTGGCTCGCGGGCAGGGGGTAGTGTTTCGGCATCATCTCGGTTCTAGTTCAGTTTGATGGCTGCTTGCTGCTGCCATGGCGGATATCGCTGCAGTCGCTAGCGGGCCCCCTCTCGTCTCGGTGTGTTGATCGCTCCTCACCTTCTTCGCTTCTCTTGCTTCTCTCGCCGCCGCCGCCGCTTCCCTTTCGCTCTCTCTGCGATCTCGCCTCTCTTGCGCCCCTCCGCCCGCGCTGCTTCGGCGCCGTGGAGAATAGGTTCCGCGAATATGCCTCTGTTTGCTTGCTGTCTCTAGGCGCTCTTTGGCGGTTGTTCCTGCCCCCTTTGCACGGGGCGACAGGCCACGCTTGGGTTGGGGGGGGCTTCAGCTGGTCGGTTTGAAGTGTCCCTGGCACAGGCTACAGAAGGTGCACCAGGACCGCCGCCCCCCCTCTCCCTCGTCGGTGCGCGCCGGCTTGGGCGAGTTCTTGGGGTCGCGGTCTTAGTTGCAGATCGTGCCTGGTGGTGCCCTCCCCCGCCTCCTTCTCCTCTGCTGCGCGCGCAAACTTGATTTGTAATTCAAGCCCACATGGACTCATCGATTGTCATCGCGTCATTGCCACGGACCCCTCGAACAAAACATTGGCATCATCGCCATCATCTTCATCACCATCATCATCGCAACACCTCTCATCAGCACCGCATCATCACCATCTTCACAATCATCACCATTGTCATCATCGTCACCACCATCATCATCATCATCATCTTCGTCGCCGTCGTCATCATCATAGTACTCATCATCACCACAACCATCAGCATCATCATCCTGATCATTCGCATCACCATCATCAGCACCACCATCATCATCATGACCAGGATCAGCATCATCATCACCGCCATCATCATGAGCAGCATCATCATTATCATCTTTCGCATCAGCATGATCATCAAAACATTAAGCATCACCACAATCATCATCATCGTCATAATTATCAGTCGCGTCGCCTACATCTTCATCATTATCAGCATTATCGCCAGCATCATCAGCATCACCACCTTCATCATCAGCATCATCAGTATTATCATCGTCACCAGCAGCATCAGCAGTTTCACCACCGACACCAACATCATCACCATCATCATCATCACCACCATTACCATTGGCATCAGCATCATCAGCTTCCGCCTGATCATCGTCATCGTCATCATTATCAACATAACCATCATTATCATGCGCATCATCCTCACCATCAAAACTACCATTTCCATCATCATCGCCACCATCATCATCGTCATCATCATACTCACCATCATCAACAACATCAATTGCAACATCAACATCAACCTTATCAGCATCATCACCACAACCATCATCAGCATTACAATCATCAGCTTCACCATCAGCAGCAGCATTATCGTCACCATCGTCATCATCAGCATCATCATCATCATCAACATCATCATCATCATCATCATCATCATCAGTATCATCATCATCATCATCATCATCGTCAACATCATCATCTTCATTATGATCATCACCATCATCATCAGCACCATCATCATTCCATCCCCCGCCTCATTATTCTCCCTCCCCTCCTCCACTCCAACCCCGTCCTCCTCTTCCTCTTTTTCCTCCCCCTCCAGGCCCCGCGGAGGCGCCGACTCGAGTGCCCCCTGTCCCCTGCCCTTGCGAGCGGCCTCGGGGGGTTGGCACCCCCGCCCCTGCGGCATCGATGGCCGCGGCGCCAGTCGACGCGGCCGGCATCGGGGAGGCCCTCGAGGGGGCCGTTGCCCCGAACGAGGACCCCCGAGGGTTCAATTCGAGGAAGAGAATATAGCACAAGCATCGACTGTCGGAGTTCGGCGCGGATCTCGGATCTGCGTTTGGTCAGATTGGGAGGGGGCCCAGCGCAGAGACACGAAATCCGCGCTGACCTCCAAAAGTTTATGCTTATGTATTTCTCCATGAACGATTCTTCTCCGATCGACCTGCGGGGGCCAGGCTGGGGAAGCCGAGGCACATCCAGATAGGATCGGGGCACGTCCAGACAGGTCGAGACAGATCCAGAGACCCCCAGGGAAGTCCGGAGCAGATCGCGGGCGCCCCAACGCGAGTCGAGGGACAGCAAGAGTCCGCTGACATCCGCCGATCTGATTATTTCATTCCGCGGCCCTGGAGGCCCCAAGATTTCAGATTTTTTGGTCCTGGATCCACATTTGATCGCCCCGGGGCCTGAACAATCAGGTCGAAAACATCATATCGTCGGAGATTTGGGTCGCTACCCTGACTCCAGATCCGCCGCGCTTCGGTCAATGTTCCGACCTAAACTTGCGTCGGACATGGATCCCAAACGGTGCGAACAGGTAGGGCGGAAGTTCCCGCCTCAGAAAAGTGGGGCGGCCAATTCCGCACAGGTTTGGTGGAAAGAGCGGCGGCACAGTGGGGCGGGGATCGGCGTAAAAGGAGCCTGAAACGTAGGGCGGGCCTTTCCGCCCGACTTGCGAGATCGCATCGCCCAAAGTAGGGCGGATCTGGAGTCAGGGCCCGTGGGCCGAAATTGGGGATCTAATGGGCGACGCAAAAAGACGGGGTCGTCTGCGCCGACATTGGCGCGTAAGCTGCCCGCGTAAGCCCGCGCATGAGCGCCCTCGTTCCACATGTAATGTGCCGCGCGGGCGGCCTGCGTAAGCCGCCGCGTAAGGTCGCTACGTCATCTCGCGTAAGATCCCTTTTTGATCGTCGCTCGGCCCTTGGCGAGAGGAGGAGGAGGAGGAGGAGGACGAGGAGGAGGAGGAGGAGGAGGCGGAGGAGGAGGAGACGGAGGAGGCGGAGGCGGAGGCGGAGGAGGAGGCATGGCACCGTCGGAAATCTGGGTCGCTCGGTCCTCGGCGAGAGGAGGCGCCCGTGGAGCCCGCGGCGCCCGCGGCCGAGCCCGCGGGGGCCCTGGCGCTGGTCCTCCTCTGCGGGCAGTCCAACATGCGGGGGTCGCTGCGGGCGCCCCGGGCCCAGCCCAGACGTGCGGGCGCCCGGAAGAGGTCCGGGCGGGAGGCTTTCTGGGCCGCTTCTGGCCTCCGGGAGCTCTCGCTGGGCCCAGGGACCGTGGAGAAACGGTTCGGGAATGAGAAGAAAACAGCCCTTGGGAAGGGCCAGGACGTCCAGAGTGGTCTTGGGTGGGAAAAGTGAGGGCATTGCGTGTCTGGGAGTGTGTCCGCAGCTTGTCACCCCATCTCGGGGACCCTCGGGGGCCGCCTCTGGACCTCGTGAGGGGTGCTCTGGAGGCCATCTGGGCCTCCAGGTAAATCCTGAGGACACCCGAGCGACGCGGAAAAGCGGGGTCGTCTACGCCGACATTGGCACGCGCAAGCGTCCCGCGCAAGGTCGCGCGGGCACGTTTCCCACGTGCCGTTCTGCGCTGGCGGTCCGCGTGAACCACCGCTTGAGGTCGCTATTGCGATCGCGCTGAGGACCCCTTCCTTCTCGTCGCTCCTCTGGGCCCTCCTCGCCCGTCCGTGCCCTCCGAGCTGGGATGCCCCCGGGAGGGAGCGAAGAGCCGCGGACGCCTCGGGCCCGGGGTGCCCCTGGCAGCGCCCGGCGCGTGGCCGGCCGCGGCCCGCTGCGGGACGCGCGGCCGCTCGAGGGGCCGCCGAGCGCGCTGCCCGTGCTCGCGTGGACCGGGGCGGGGCGGTGGTCGGAGGCGCTCGGGTGGACGGCCGCCGCCGCCGCCATCGTACTCCTCGTCCTCCTCGTCCTCCTCCTCCTCCTCCTGGTCCTCGTCTCTGTCCTCCTCTTCCTTTTTCACGCTAGGTGGACTTCCAGCGGCGTTGAAATCCTCCTCCTCCTCCTCGTCCTCCTTCTTTTCCTTCCTTTCGTTATGCTCATTATCCTCCTCGTCCTCCTTCTCCTCCTCCTCTTCCTTCTCCTCCTCCTCCTCCTCCTCCTCCTCCTCTTCCTCCTCCTCCTACCCCTTCTTCTCCTCCTCCTCCTCCTCCTCCTCCTCCTCCTCATCTTTGTCCTCCTCCTCGTCCTCATCCCTCCGTGTCCTCCGTCGTCATCGTCGTCGTCGTTGTCGTCGTCGTCGCCGTCGCCGTCGCCGTCGTCGTCGCGTCAGTCCGCAGGTGCCCTAGAGCGTGTCTGGCCGTATCCCCGCGTAAGCTTTGCACCCCAGCCCCTCGAGGATCGAACGGGCGAGGCTTGTGGAGGCTCTGGGAAGGTTTTCGACGGATTGTGTTTTTTCCTTGCCTCCTGGGGCCTCGAGACCCTTGGATCATCTGGGCGGCTTCTTAGGGGTCTCTTGGCCCGTCTTGGGGCCCTCGTGGCTCCCAAAAAGTCATGCGGGAGCACTCGACACGACCCGGAGGGCACGCGGAAAGGCCCAAGAGATTTGGGAATTTGGGGTCCAGGCCCTTTTAATAATCCTCATGATTGAAGACTGAGGCTCAGAGGTTGAGCAAGCGACCTGGGGACACTCCATTTTGTGTCACAGGGCCACGATGGCGGACATTTCTTTCTTTTTTTTTGTTCTTTCTCTCTCTCTCTCTCTCTTTCTCTCTATATCTCTCTCTCTCATATATATATATATACGTATATATATAACTCTGTACAAATAGTACTAATGCAATGAAGCCTTGTTTGCATAGAAAACTGATCCGGCCAGACTTCCGGCCTGGTGGGGGCCGCTGGGTCTGGAGCGCCTCTGGAGCGCCCAAGACTGTCCCAGGTGGCCCCCAGAGGGCCCCAAGACGGGCCGACAGGGCTCCAAGGCGCCCAAGATGGCCCCAAGAGGCCACCCAGACGCCCCAAGAGAGCCCCAAGAGGCTTTGCAAGAGAGCCCCAGGAGGCCAAGACCGTTAATTTCCTTTTCTGGGGAAGCGTGGATTTCTAGCATCTACAACATTGGAGCTGTCCGACGCTCCAAGACGGCCCAAGACGCCCCCCCAGACCGCCCCAAGACGGCCGAAGAGGCCCCCAAACGCCCCCACGACGGCCCAAGAGGGCTCCAAGACGACCCCTTAGGCGCCCAAGACGGCCCAAGAGAGCCCCAAGACGGCCCCCGAGACCTCGAAGCCCACAAAGGACCGCGCGCCATAGCCGCCCCCCGATCATGCGCCGAACCGAGGAACCAATCAGTACCTCGACGGTCAGAGAGTCAGTGTGTGTATATATATATATATACACAAGATTTTGAAGGCTCGCTCCGCTTCGCCTTAAACCTTGGCCCATGGAATTCTTGAGAACATGTGTTTGTGAGGGGTGGGGAAGCCCATGGATCCGAGGAAGTCTGGGAACCCCCCCCATCGGTTTCTCTCGGAACATCGACTTGGCCCGGCATTGCCTCCCGTTCCGGGGCGCCCCTCGAGCGCGGGCATGCGCGGGGCGAGGGACGGGGGCGTGGAGAGTCGTGGAAGAGCTGTCAGGATAAAGGAGAGAATAATAATGCAATGGGGATACCAACATCATAATGCGGGTACATTCATTGGTTGTCCCTCGCTCGAGCGCAAAGCTGGAGGTGCCGGCGCGCACAGTAGCTCAAGGGCCTTGTAAACCATAGTGGTCACAGAGCACGCCGTGGAGAGAGAGAGAGAGAGAGAGCGGGAAGAGGATGGAAGGCTGGATGATGCCATGGCCCCGCAGGGAGCAAGAGAGATGAAGGGTTGAGTCGTGTTTTTTGTTTGTATGTCAGTGCCTACGAGGGCCGGCCCGGCGCTCTCCGTGATGATGGACGGGTAGGCGTCGAAGAAGTCCTTCAGTGTGCGGGCCACCTTCGTGGGGACGTTCGGGTGGATCGTGTAGGCCAGGTTGATGAGGTCGCTGAGCTCGTACGTCTGGCCGTTCGTCATGGTCCCCGTGCGGCGGATGGACACCCGATTGTTGAGCAGCGTGGACTTGGCGGACCAGGCACCCTGGGTGTCTGTCGCGGGAACTTTGAGGTCGGCCTTCAAGAAGCAGTGAGTCATTATGTCGATGGTGCGGGCGGCCACATGCTCCGTGGCCAGGGTGGCGGCCTTGGCGCTGTCGCCATAGGCCGCCGCCACGAAGGCCCAGCTCCTCCCAGAAGTAGGGTTGTGCCCAGACTGCGGCGGCTGGAGCACCTCGGCGGAGACGCACACTCCGTTGGGCGGCAGCTTCAACTTCAGCAAGTCGGTGGCCCTCTGGACTGTGGTGGTCAGGCCGTGGCGATTGGCGGGGGCCCCGCTGCGCATGCTCATGCCGTCCGGGAGCGTGACGCGAGAGCCCGCGTTGGCCTTCGTCGGCGCGTCGACCATCTCGAAGTTGACGTTCACCGTGTACAGAGGCGCGCGGACACGGTTGCCAGCGTCGGGCTGCGGGCGCTCCGGCACAGACGTGTCGAGGACCGCGTTGCCAGCCAGCCTGCGTAGGGCGCCGCGAGCGGCAGCGGGCCTGGCGAGCGCGGCGGGCATCGCGGCGGAGGTCGGCGGCGAGTGAGACCCGACGTGCAAGAAGCGCAGGAAACGGCGAACGCTCGGCGGAGCCTGGAAGCCGAAATGCCTGCTAGCGTCACTGCGTGGCGACAATGTAAGAATTGAAATGGCGACGTAAGCCGCCGGGCCGATGGGGCTTGCGGAGGCGGCGGCAAGGGGGGGGGGGGCAGTGGCGACGACGGGAAGATGGCGACGGATGTGTTTGTGCGTCGAAGCCAGAGCAAGGGAGGCAGACGACATTTTAGCGGCATCGGGCGCCACGCTTGCCGCTAGCAGGGTGGTCGGGGGGGCTCGCGGCCGGTCGTTTTCGCACAACAGATGTGGCAGTGTCGGTCAGCAAGAACTCAGGCCACACCACGTTTTTGCTGAGGGCGCTACCGGCAGGGCTGCAACGTTATGCGGATGTTCGTTCGCGTCTCCACCCGGCTCAAAGCCACGTGGAGGTGGCCGTGGGAAAATGGGCTTCGGCGGACGTCGACCACGCAGCGGGCCAACGTGGTGCCTTGCGAGCCGTTGAACGTCGAAGCGTACGCCGGACGCAAGGGGTATTGTCGGCGGCGGATGGTGGTAGCCCCCCTCCCCAGTGCCTAGCGGAAGCAGATCCGGGGCAAAGGGAATTCTTTCCCATCCATTCGCTCCACGAGGACATGTTTCTCGTAGACCGCTTTGAGCACGACGTGCGCGTGGTTCATCAAACGATCACACGGGCTGAAGTTTCTCATCAGCTCGTAGAGACCGCCAACAACCAGCCGAAGAGAGTGCGGAGGGACACCGTTCTCCTCCTGCAGGTCAAGGAACTCCGCGGTGATGTGGTCTTCGACGTTGTCGCTGTTGGCGCCATACTCAATTGCGTCGGAGCTTCGGGCGATGAACTCTCGCAGCCGATAAATTTGCGTCAGGGTATCCAGGATACGGTCGTTTAATGAGTTCCTCGCCTCGTTCGTCGCTGTCAGAAATTTCTGGCCGGCGCGCTCGGCGGGGTCGTTCACGTGGGGGAAACAGTGCGTGATGGCGTCGTCCATGGTGTGGGTCACGGAGCAGCGGTCGAGCTCGATGTAGCCGGGTTCGCCACCAATGGTGTGCGTGTGCGGAACGTCGCCCTGGCCGATCCGCTCGATCCATGCAGCGTAGTCGCTGTCGTGGATTTGTCGGTGCGTGGCGCGGAATTGCCGAGCGCGGAAGGAGGTCCACGAAGGCGACGTTGTGACGCTGGCGGCGCGGATGTCCTGTCGGGACGCGTGCTTGAGAGCAGGTGGTATCTGTCGGAAGTCTCCGTAAGTGATGATCACCTTTGGGATGTAGAGGTCTGGGCGGGCCTGCTGCAGGCGCGCGAGGTAGTCGAGCACCGCGTCCCACGCAGCGCGCTTGCAGGATGCCGCTCGCCCCATTGAATGACGGCAGCGGTCGCGACGGTGATGGCGTCCGCAGTCGCGTGCCCCAAGCGGCAGGTGAGGTGCTCTGCGTCTGCTATCGGGATCTTGAAAGTGGAGTGCGCGGTGGCTCCATCAGGCAAGTTTAGGGCTGCTATGCCCGTCGACGCTACATTGACGCAGCCTTTGTCGAGGGACCGCACGTAATAGGAGATGTACTTAGCGAGCGTGGATTTGCCGCAGCCGGCTCGACCCTGGCAGAAAATAAGCTTGGGCGCGCCAGAGCGCAGGGCTTCGATGACGTCCCTGGCGGCTTCGGACTGATCTGGGTGTCGTTTGATGAGGTTCCAAAGTCTGCTGGCTTCCGACGCTGCTGCTGCCGGGGTGCTATGGGCGAAACCGGGCACCGGCGCGCTATGGACATCGGTGGGGCGAACGGGGCGGTCTAGAAGCCAAGCGTCCTCAGTGTTGCCTTGGGCCAGCCAGGATGCCTTGAGCGTTCGCTGTAGCTCCTGGCGGGCGGTGTCCTTGGAGAGGCCCCTGTCGAGGAAATCTTTCATCAAATAGGTCTCGTACTTGTCGTGCAGAGTGCAGGGCTCGGCGTCCTGCTCGAGGAGAACGACGAAAGCAAACCGTAGTTGAGGCGCTGTGTATCGGAGCGAGACCAACGCGTCCCTTGCACGGGAGGTTTCGTCTTCCTGGGTGAACAGCCCAGTGGCAATCATTGCCTCTTCGTAGGATGGGCACGAATGTCCACTGTGAGTTTTGCAGTTCTCGAAAGTACGCGTGGGGCAGTTGAGTCGCATGTGGCGAAGGAAGAATAGATCCTTCTGCCGGGGGAACTTCATCTCCAAGCGGCAAACCGGATGTTCGCTTTTCTGCTT